GACAACGCTTGCTGTGGCCTACTCGGGCATACATTGCATACCAGAGCAGAGCATATCATAACATGACGAAACAGAGCATACCATAACACACCATGGCATAACACACCACAACATACACTGTATCACAGCCCATTCAGCATGGCATATTGCATTGCAGCACTGGTGACAAATCCTATCATGGCAGAGTGCGGCAGAATATGTGGCACCATACCAGAACATAATTCAGCACAGCATCGTAAGCTATGGGAGAATGGGAGACTGGATGATACATAGCAGAGCATAACAGCACACCTCCTAACCGAGCATATCACAACATGCCATGTCAGAACATACCATCACATAACACACCGTGTCAGCACATATCACACCGTACCAAAGCATCACATCACGTACCACTTCGTACGCTGATTCATCATATCATGCCAGACCCCGGCATTGCACTTTATAGCATAGCATACCATCGTACATCATACCACGATCACATAGCAACGCATACTATGTCATAGCATGCCAGGACAATACCTAAGGGGACACACGATAACAACGCATGCAATGACATCATGAAGCATGGAGCGCATAGCATGACACCACACACCATAGCAACACATACAGGGCTTACCAGACCAGAGCGTAAGAGAACATGGCAGAACATTTCACACAATGGCATAACAGATCAGAACATAACCCAGGAACGCAGCATTTCAAATCATGACACGCATGCCCTGACGGACCGCGGCATACCATATTATGACATGGCAGGGAATATGAAGTACTCGAATACCGTGCCCTGACAGAGACGGGCATGACAAAACGCAGCATCGAGCAGAACATACAATAACAGCGCATACTATGACACAGGGAAGCATGGTAGGGTAGATCGTCACAGATCATAGCACGGCGTACCGGACCTGTTTTACCATTGGTACACTACGGCACCGAACATATCCATTTTAGTAGATTCTACCAGATTGCAGAGAATAGCAGAACATAGCACACCGCAGTGCACAGAGATCAGAGCACAACGTAACAAGAAGACAATCGCATATCTCTTTCACTACTGATGCCCCTACGGCAGAGAGCTTGCCATAACGCCAAACACTACAGCTTCAGTGAAGAGGTATGCCATCACAGAGCAGGGCATCATATACTGCATCAAACTAACTCATCATAACGTACACAGCATCACTGAGCAACCCATAGAAAACTGACAAGCCATATCTTGTTATTACACGGTGCGACAGTGCAGAAGTGCATACTTCAGATCAGCAAAACCTTAATTGAAGAGAAACGTTATGACATAATACACCCTACTGTAACATTATCAAACGCGACGTGCGCGCCGAGGTCAGCCTGGGCCATTGGACCAAACAGGTGGAGCAACAACCGATTGGACAGCGTATCACACGTGACAAGCGTCACGACGTCACGCCAGCTGCTGCCTCTTCTTGTTTGTACTACTACTACTACTACTACTACTACTACTACTACTACTACTACTACTACTACTACTACTACTTTTACTACTACTACTACTACTACTACTACTACTACTACTACTACTACTACTACTACTACTACTACTACTACTACTACTACTACTACTACTACTACTACTACTACTACTACTACTACTACTACTACGTACTACGACTACGACTACTACGACTACTACGACTACTACTACTACTACTACTACTACTACTACTACTACTACTACTACTACTACTACTACTACTATTACGACGACGACGACGACGACGACGACGACGACGACGACGACGACGACGACTACTACTACTACTATTGCTTCTACTTCTACTTCGACTACTTCTATTACTGCTACTGCTTGTCTTCCTCCCGCTGGTTCTTTCAAGACGTGTATTGCAGTACCGCGCCACTCGTTTTGGAGCTCTGGTGCCGTGCGATTTCAGGAGTTCGGCAACTTGCGACCGAATCAGACTGCCGCGCTGGCCGACACCACCGGCCCACGCGCACATTGTTCCAATGGGCCCGAGCACCGTTGGAATCAAACGCCAAAGGTTCCAGTGGAGATAGATCGAAGCAGACTAATTTCTGATATCAGGTTCCGACGAGGTTGTGGCGAGATTTCGAGGGCAGTTTGGCTAAGCCCCCCTCAGACTCTACAAGCTGTTGAGCAGATGGCAGTATGCATGCTAGCCTGCCTTGTCAAAAGCCTGCGCAGGTTCACTCAGGCTGTCTTTGGGTTGTGCGTCTTTACATTAGGACCCCTGACCAGAATTCGTAGCAAGGCAGAGTATGCCAGCTGGAGGAGAGGTTCTTGCTGTGCGAAGGTGCCCAGAATGTGGGCGAGGCCCACCAAACTAAGACGCACCGAAGTTGTGAGGTAATTCGTGCGATCCCATGCGAGGAACGCCGCATCGCTCGGGCAAGTTTCTTGGCGGACGAATCTGCTGAGGAGGTCTTGTCCGTCCATGTCGCTTGGAACTCTGCGGACCTGGCCGATCTGGACGCTTTGCTCGGGAAAGCGCGGATTCTTGCGCGGGTGATGGGGAGTGCCTTGTCGCCTTTCCCGTTCTACCAGTTTCTTACGAGTCCTAGGGCCCCGAAGCCGAGATACGCTGGAGAAGCGCGGTGGCATGCGTGGACCGCTGTCCCAAGGCGCCCCATGGACGTTCATATGCCACGCCTGTCGCACCCGTGTCGTCAGGATGTGTGTCGGTAGGCTCGACACGTCAGGGTGTCTTGACCGTCGGGCTAGTTTCAAATTTCCAAGTGATGAAGAAGGGAAGGGGCCTGACTTGTTATTCACACGCCTGTTTTCTGGTCCTTCTCTCGTGCTTTGCTGCCGCTGTGGCGCGTACCGCACAAGCTCACTGCAGCTGCCTGCTCGAGAAGCCGTTTCGAGGCCGTGCGGTGCCTTCTGCCTCTCGTTGTCACCTCGGCCGTGTGGATGCTTGTTTGTATCCGCAGTCAAGCCGTGCTCACGGTGCTGTGCTCCGCATCCTGAGGAGGAGGAGGAGGAGGAGGAGGAGGAGGAGGAGGAGGAGGAGGAGGATGAGGGAGGAGGAGGAGGAGGAGGAGGAGGAGGAGGAGGAGGAGGAGGAGGATGAGGAGGAGGAGGAGGAGGAGGAGGAGGAGGAGGAGGAGGAGGAGGAGGAGGAGAGGAGGAGGGTCAGAGGAGGAGGAGGAGGGGAGGAGGAGGAGGAGGAGGAGGAGGAGGAGGAGGAGAGGGAGGAGGAGGAGGAGGGGGAAGGAGGGAGGAGGAGGAGGAGGAGGCGGAGGAGGGGAGGAGGAGGGAGGAGGAGGAAGAGGAGGGAGGAGGAGGAGGAGGAGGAAAGGGCGGAGGAGGAGGAGGAGGGGAGGGGGAGGAGGAGGAGGAGGAGGAGGAGGAGGAGGAGGAGGAGGCGGAGGAGGAGGGAGGAGGAGGGGAGGGGAGGAGGAGGGAGGAGGAGGAGGAGGAGGAGGGGAGGAGGAGGAGGGAGGAGGAGGAGGAGGAGGAGGAGGAGGAGGAGGGAGGAGGAGGAGGAGGAGGAGGAGGAGGAGGGAGGAGGAGGAGGAGGAGGAGGAGGAGGGAGGAGGAGGAGGAGGAGGAGGAGGAGGAGGAGGAGGGAGGAGGAGGAGGAGGAGGAGGAGGAGGAAGAGGAGGAGGGAGGAGGGAGGAGGAGGAGGAGGAAGGGGAGGAGGAGGAGGAGGAGGAGGAGGAGGAGGAGGAGGAGGAGGAGGAGGAGATCGCTCAGCGAGGTGGAGCGAGAGAGGCTGCTGACCGCTCAGCCAGCCTCGCCGGCGCGCGGTCTGCCTGCAGGCGCCTGGGACGGAGGACCCGAGGAGCGCCCTGCCCGTTGGGCCTGGGGCCCTCCGCCGTGTCATGGCGCCAACATCGCAGAGCGGATGTCGACTGGAAAACGACAGGATGGGCCCGGAGTGTCCTGGAGCATTTCGTTCCAGATTTCGAGGTGAATGTTGTGCGGATTCGTTTGGGCCAGGAATGGAGACTAAACAGACTCCACGCGCAATCCACCTCGTTTTTCACTCGCCGTTTCGGGGCTTTGTATTGACTGAAATCCATGGGGAAAATCCACTGCAGCACGTCTGCAAGGTCGGTGCAGAAATCGATAAGGAGATCGACCAGGAACCCGGGATCCCGAGAACCCGGAACCCACCGAAATCGGACCGGAACCAATAACCATGAACCTGGGAATCCAGAACCGGGAACCCGGGAACCCAGCTGGCCACCAAAATAGGCGGGAAGCGTTAGCCAAATCTTTCAACATCCGCTATGACCCCTTCAGTGCAAGCACTGACTGGGGCATGATTCGATGTGAGTTGTATCCCTTGGAGGGAGCAGCCTTGATCCCCGGGAGCAACCTTCCCCCTCCTCCCGTCTGTGGCCTCCTTCTCCGTCCTCCCCTCTGCCTCCTCCTCCGGCACGCCGGCGCCCTGCTCTCTCTTCTCGCTGCCGTTCCTCCCCCTCAGCTCCCCCCCATCCTCTCTCTCTGCTTGCCTCCTCTTTCTCCTCCCTCCTCTTTCTCCTCCTCTCCCGCCTCTCCCCCCATCCTCTTCCTCATCCCTACCTCCTCTTTCTCCTCTCCATCCTCGTTCTCCTCCCTACCTCCTCTATTTCTCCTCCCTCCTCTTCCTCCTCCTCTCCCTCCTCTCCCCCCCTCTTTCGGACGGAAGCAGCGACGACGAGGACGGACGGACGCGCGGACGGGCAGATGTCGATTGCCACAACGACGATGGCTACGACCCATCCTCATTCTTTCCCCCCCTTCCTCCCCGTCCAGAGCCAAATCCGTTCGCCCCTCCGGGTGTCCATGCTGGCCAGTCTTTCGCCCGGGTCGCCCATATGCCGAGAATGGCGGAAGGCCTCCTCGAACTTTCCTCCTCCTTCCTCCTTCCTCCTCCTCCTCCTCCTTCCTCCTGGGGGTGCGTGCACGTGAAGGAGGGGCGCTGGTCCGCGGCGTCCGATCCGCAACCAATGCGGTTCAAGCCTCTTTCTCGCCTGAAGTCGGGCGCTCATGCCCCGCCCCTGCGCCCTCGCTTTCCTCGCCGCCCCATATCTGGCTGGATTGTGGCGGCTCGTGGCGGACCGGCCTGGGATCGCGCTGGAAAGCGCGCTGCGGCTGGGCGAGTTCGCGCTTCACTCGGCGACGGCTGCGCGGCAGGACGTCGGCCGCGTGGGGGTGGAGGACCTTGGCGTGAACGTCTCGGTGGTGGAGTGTTCGTGTACCCCTTGCCCGGCACCCTGGAGGTGCGAAGAAGACGCTGGGCCAGCCTGGGTGCAGGCGTGCGAGCCGGTGATCGAGCACGTCTCGGAATCGGAGTGCGAGGAGTTGCCGGTTTTCAACTTCGTGAAGACCATCGTCGGGGCGACGACCAGCTTCATCGGTGGACTCCTCGCGGCGTGCGGGTGTCGACCCCAACCGTGGGAATATGGCGGTCGTCGTGCCCACTACGCCCTTGCCCGGGCACACGTTCGTGGTGTTCTTCGAGGGTGACGCCTGGGGACATGAGCGCGTGCTGGTGTGGCCGCTCTCGACTTCGGTGTGGATGATCTACACCGCCCAGGGGCACTTCTACGTGGAAGACACCTCCCTGTATGAGAAGGTGGTGGCCCTCAAGGGCTTCGGGGATCGCCCGCCCAGGCTGGAGTCGGTCGACATCGTGCAGTTCGACCGGCCAGTCCAGCGACAGGAGTGCCTCGACCTGCTGGCCGCGGCCCAGTTGCATGCGGGCGCCCTTCGAGGCGCGCTCGGGCTGCCAGACTGGCCGGCACCGACGCAGTGGGTCTCCACCGACGGAACGCTGGAGCCGATGCCCAGACGGCGGCGCCTCCCAAGGCGCGGAGCGCTGCCTGTGCCTGGGCCATCCTTGCCGCTGACCGCGGCGGCGCGTGCCCGCTCCGGGCCCCGAGGCGATCGACGAGGTGATGTTTTCGCAGGTGCTCTCGATAGGCTCGAGGGCGACGACCAGCCTCCCGCAGTGACCTGGCGGGTCTCCGAGCCCGGCCTGGCCTTCGGCAACATCGGCAGCGAGGTGGAGCCGAGGCTGTTAGTCTTCGGCGGGCGGCTTTTCGGCGTGGCCATCTCGGACACAGGGCTCGAGGCGCCGGTGATGGCCGTGAGCCCGGAAGTCTCGGAGGAGGACTTCAAGACTCAGCGGCTGGTGCAGTTCTCGCCGCCAACGCCGCGCGGCGCGCCGGAGCCGCCCACCATCGCGCTCGACGACGACCCTGTCGGCGCTTTCAGGCGGGAGGCAGGTGGCCGCGAGATCGAAGACGCAGGAGAAGGCAGCCCCCTACTCGAGCGCGTGCTCGGGGAGCGGCCGCCCGGCGCAGCAGCACCGGCGGCCGCTGGCGAGGTCGCGGTGGACGTCCGCGTGCTGGAGGTCGACTGGGACTCGCAGGGGGAGCGGCACAAGGACTGGAAGGAGGTATGTAGGGAGTCAAGCTCGCACTCCTTCCGCGACTGGCCGCTCGACGGCCCGAGCACCGCCCTCAGCGTGATGAAGCACATCGACCGCTTCGGGCCGATGCCGACCAGTTGGCTGGAGGCATGGGGGAGGAGAAAGCACGTCGCGCCCTCGGACCGCGCCTACCACGAGCTGCGAGTGTTGGCCGAGAGCTTCGAGCAGTTCGGCTGCTACGACCAGCTGAACATGCCCTGCCTAGCAGGGATCGAGGTGCTGATGAGGCGTTTCCAGACACTCCTGGAGGCCCACTCGGTGCCGGGCGCCAAGCCGAACTACAGCATGGCCGGCGTGTACTCAGGCACCGCGATGCTGGAGGACGCGGTGGCTCCGGACCTGCGTGTCTACGGCGCGAGGAAGCTCAAGGAGAAGGCTCTGGAGGGCGGCGTGCAGCGCGGCGGCTTGTACGCGCCGCAGGCGGAGGGCTACGACGAGGAGGACCCAGGCGCGGCCGGCGCGGCGCCGGGCGCAGGTGGTAACAAAGGCGGCGGGGGCCGAGGGGCAGGAGGCAAGACCAAGAAAGGCAAGCCCGGGCTCCCAGCGCCCCCGCCAGCATCATGATGGAGGCGAGCGGCGGGGGAAGTGGGCCAGCCCCCGTCGCCTTTACCAGGTCCTGCATGGGAGTGCATCGCCGCCTGCCCTCCTACGACATCCCGTCGCGGGTTGGTGCTCCCTCGCGTCGGTCCAGACGTCGTCATGGACTGGGCGTGGAGGAGTTCAGGCGCAAGAACGAGACCGTGGATGCGCTCCACTGGTGCCTGGGTGCGCGGACTTCAGGGCCGCCAGGCGCCAATGAATTTGATGAGGAGGCCGTGGCGACTCTCGTCGCCCCTGTGATCGCGAAGCCGGTGACAGCGCCTTCCCAGGAAGAAGCCGCTCGCGTGCTTCTCCGAGGTCATCTCAGCTACGATGCCGAGGAGACCTACACTACCGTCGTGCCCTACGAGTTTGGTTCCGTCTCGCTCCCCGAGCACGTCCACGATGCAGCAGTCGTGACGGAGGTGCTGGACGCTGAGGACCGCCTGATCATCGAGGGTTGGCAGAAGAGCATGATGCGGTCTACCGATGAGTTTAACAAGCTCAACGAGAGGCTGGGTGATATCAAACCGTTCTGGGACAAGAAGCTGTCGCGGAACCAGAAGACCTACCGGCTGTTCATTTTGGACCTCGAGCGCCGGGGCCTGATCCAGTGGACCACTGAGCCCATCGAGCACGCAGGTATGTTTTTTGTTGGAAAGAAGGACAAGTCCCTGAGACTCATCATTGACGCGAGGAGGGGGAACCGCCGGTTCAAAGCTCCTCCGCACACCGAGCTGATCACAAGCGAGGGGCTGTCCAGGATCGAGTGCGAGGCGGACTACAAGGAGGACCCCGACTGCATCTTCACGTTGGGCATCGGCGACGTCGAGAACTGCTTCCACCGGTTGCGGCTCCCCGACGGCATGCACCGGTGTTTCGCCCTCCATCCGATCGCGGCGAAGCATACGCCTTTGCGGGACAGCTTGGCGCGAGAGGCGCCGGTGTATCCCTGCTTGGCATCGTTCCCCATGGGATTTACGTGGTCGCTGTGGGTCGCTCAGAAGTGCAGCGAGGCAGTCCTCAACAAGGTGCACCAGCTGGGGCCCGAGAGAAGGGCCTCCGACTACACCGCCCCCATCGTGCTGGGAAAGGGGGCAGACGTGAGGTACGCCCTGTATGTGGACAACCTGGACGTAGTCGGCAGCGCCGAGCGGCCTGTGGGTCTGGCGCTCAACAAGGGCTGCGCAGCCCTGGACGCCGTCGGCCTGAAGACGCACGAGCACGACCTGAAGGGCAATGGCGGCGAGACGCTGGGGTGCGTGCTGGACGGCCACCGGCTCGAGACGCAGGTGACCGAGAAACGGAGGTGGCGCATCGATGGCGCTTTTCGTTGGGCCCTTCGGCGGCGACGCCTCAGCGGCAAGCAGCTGGAGCGGCTCGTCGGGCACGCCACGTTCGTCAGCCTGCTGGACCGAACGGCCCTAAGCGTGTTCAACGCCTGCTACGCCTTCATCCACCGGTACGGCGACGCCGCGGCGGTGGTGTGGCCGACCGTGCGGCAGGAGCTCCAGGCCTTCATTGGGCTCCTGCCTCTGGTGCGGGCGCCGTGGGATCTACCTTGGTGTGAGACGATAGTAGCCACAGATGCCTCCCTCGAGGGATGGGGGCACTGCCGTTGCTCGTTGACGGCCAAAGCAGTGGCTAGCATCGCTCGCACTTCAGAGGTGTCCCGATTTCGTCGTGTGCACAGCCTTGGAGCTCGCGAGGCAGCGAGCGCAGCACTGTATCCGTTAGACGAGGACAATGACAATCACCATCCGCTATCGTTCACCGACACCACCACCACCATCATCGACATCGGGGAGGCCTTGCCGTTGTCGACGGGGGAGGAGGTCTGGATGATTGACAGCCTGTTTCCGGAGGTGCCGTTCGGGGAAGGGGGTCTCTTCTCTGCCCGGGGCTGCATCGCCGAGTCCGATTTGATATCACCCTGGAGAGTTACTGGAAAGGGTAAGTGGAATTTTGGAGAACGCATTCTGGAGTTAGAAGCTCGGGCACTAGTTCTGGGTCTGGAGAGTCTGATCGCCGAAGGAGTTCGAAACAGTCGAAACCTATTCCTGATCGACAACATGGCTATCACGCTCTCGTTCGCTCGGGGAAGATGTAAAAACTACGTTGTACTACGGCAAATTCGGCGCTTCCGCGCCCTGTGTCTTATCCATAACATTCGTCCGTATTTCCGCTGGATCAAATCAGAATTCAATCCAGCCGACGACCCATCGAGAGATGCCGATGGAAGCACGCCTCGGCCGCCGACCAGCGACCGCCCGGCGGCCTGCAGCCCCCAAGCGGCAAGCCCGCCTGTCCGCGCCGGCGCCTTCGTGCCCGACGCGGCTTCGCCGGCCCCAGCTCTCGTCCGTGGTGAAGCCGCCGGCGGGAGTCAAGAGCAAGAGGCGGACGCTGGGCGTGGCAATACCAGTGCTGCTGGACCGGGTGCAGGCGCCGAAGCTCGAGGGGCTGTCAGAGAAGGAGGCCTTCGCCGGGCCCCTGATCAGCGTCGGGCTCGAGGAGGCCGACACCGGCCTGGACCACGACGAGGCGGCGGGCGTGCAGGACAGCTCAGACAGCGACGACCTGGACGAAGCCATGAGGGGTCGGTGCAAACGCAGACGCGCCAAGTACCTCCTCTCCGCTCGGCAGGCCATGGACCAGATGGGGACGCTGCTGGAGTCCTACGCCGTGCAGACCAAGACCAGGGACTACTACCACCTCCTGGTCTCCCGGCTCTACTACTGGGCGAAGCAGCGGCGCCTTGGCCTTCACCCGCCGTCCCAGCTGGATGGGACGTTGTGTATCCACATGACGGAGCTGTTCCTTACTGGCAAGCAGGCCAATGTGGGGGAGAAATTGCTGGCTGGTGTCCTTCACGTCCTCCCGGAGTTTGGGAAGATTGGCCAGCTTTCGCTCCCACGATCGTGGAGAGCAGTGAAGGGCTGGCGCCGCCTGTGCCCTGGCCGGAGCCGCCACCCGATGCCCTTCTGCGTCTGGGCGGCAGTCTGCCACTGGCTTCTGGCGCGTGGCAAGCGCTACGAGGCGGCGGCGATCCTGCTTTGCTTCATGTGTTACCTGAGGCCGTCCGAGATGCTGAACATCAGGTGCGGCCATTTCATAGGCCCCCTGGACGGGGTGTCCAAGTACTGGTGCCTGCTGCTGGCTCCGGAGGAGTTGGGCCAGCCTACCAAGGTGGGGGTGCTCGACGACAGCCTCCAGCTCGACATGAAGTCGCTCAAGTGGCTCGACGTGGTCTGGAGGGAGATCAACTCAAGGCCAGCGGCGGAGCGGGCTTTCCCGTTCACCTACCAGGACCTGCTGGCCGACGCGAGGGCCGCTGGCGCGACCCTTGGGCTGAAGCTAGTGCCCTACCAACTCCGGCACAGCGGGGCCTCGCACGACCGGCTTCGCGACCTTCGCGGGCTGCCAGAAGTGATGAAGCGGGGCCGCTGGCGCAAGCTGAAGTCCGTGGCTCGGTACGAGAAGCACGCGCGAGTGGGGCTCGAGTTCGGGAAGCTCGACGCTCTGACGCGCAGCCACTGCACGCGCTGCGAGTCACTGCTCGCGGATGCGTTCCTCGGAAGACGAGAGCCTCTAGCCTTCGGTCGCCAGCATGTGTAGATAAGACTTATATTGCCGAGTGTTTTTCAGGCTGCGGGATAGTTAGCAAGAAAGTTCGTGTGGCTGGTTTCTGTGCTCGGGAGTGGGACCTGCTCCACGGGCCTTCAGGTGACCTGTGTGATTCGAGAGTCCGCAGGCCGATCAAACAGGATCTCGCTCGCGGCCGATGTATCGGAATGATGCTGGCTCCGCCCTGCAGCTCGTGGTCTGCTGCTCGGGATCGGACGTACCCAATTCGCTCTCGTAAGTTTATTAGGGGGATCCCGGGCCTCGACGCCCGCGACCTGGCCAAGGTCGCTCTCGGTAACGCCACGCTGGACGCAGCTCTTGATCTGGCCAGGTCCGCCCAGTCTGCCGGGGTCCCCTGGGTTCTTGAGAACCCTCACACATCAAAGATGTGGCATGATCACAAACTGAAAGTTTTCGTAGCGCGTAGCCGCGCCGTCTCTATTGTCACTGACTACTGTCTCTGGGGAAAGCCCTGGAGAAAGAGAACTCGTTTTTTGGTGGGAAACGTCCCCGCGGAAGACCTGACGAAACTAAGTCGGATCTGTCCTGGCCGCGGGATTTGCAGCCGCACAGGGCGCCCCCATCAGCACCTCGAGGGAGCTGGCCCAGGGGGGGTTCGCTGGACCGTCATCGCGATGCCTTACCCTGCGCGCCTGGCTCACACTTTAGCTTCCGTTTTGGTCTCGAAAGCTCGCAGTGAATATATGATTTGATAACTACACTTACCTTCGGTTCGGGAGGTTTGGGTTGTCTGAATGTTCTACTACTGTTCGCTCACTGTTTTTCTTTCGGGGCTCTCGTGCCTCCTCGTCTGCGCGCTCAATGACGCAACGTCGGCAGCACAAGATGGAGCGTTGACAAATAATGAGAGCGGCCCTGCATTCCCCTCCTGGGGGTGCGTGCACGTGAAGGAGGGGCGCTGGTCCGCGGCGTCCGATCCGCAACCAATGCGGTTCAAGCCTCTTTCTCGCCTCCCTGTGCCAGCCCAATGCCTGAGGCTCGTCAAGCCCGCGGCTTGTCTGAATGTTCTACTACTGTTCGCTCACTGTTTTTCTTTCGGGGCTCTCGTGCCTCCTCGTCTGCGCGCTCAATGACGCAACGTCGGCAGCACAAGATGGAGCGTTGACAAATAATGAGAGCGGCCCTGCATTCCCCTCCTCCTCCTCCGCTTCCTCCTCCTCCCCTCTCTCTCCCACTCCGGGGGGGGGGCGTCAGGCCCCGCGGAGTCCACGTTCTGTTCGCCGCGCCGCCGCGGCCGCGGGCGCGGTCCTCGTGCCTCGCTGCTGCTGCTGCTGCTCCTGTTCATCGAAGCCCGCTTCCCTCCCCGGGGGGGACCGTGGCCCCCCTCGTCCGCAGCCGCC